GGAGGGCAGGGAGCAGATTCAGGCTGACCTGGACAGGTTGGATCAATGGGCAGAGAGAAATAGGATGCACTTTAATAAAGATAAATGTAAGGTACTCCACCTGGGAAGGAGGAATCCCCAGCACACCTATAGGTTGGGAAGTGTCCTTCTCAGCAGCTCAGAGGCAGAGAGGGATAATTGACTCCAAGATGAACATGAGCCGGCAGTGTAACAAGGCCATCAACCAGGCCAATCGCACCTTGTCGTGCATTAGCAGGTGCATGACTATAGATCAAAGGAGGTGATGCTCCCCCTCTATGCAGCACTGGTCAGGCCGCAGTTGGAGTACTCTGTCCAGTTTTGGGCACTTCAAGAGGGACACAGAGAATCTGGAGAGGGTCCAGAGGAGGGCCACTCGCATGATTAGTGGCCTTTGTGATAGACCCTATGGGGGGAGGTTTAGAGAGCTGAATCTCTTCAGCCTTCACAAGAGACAGCTGAGGGGAGATCTTGTGGCTGCCTATAAATTTATTAGGGGTGGTCAACGGGGAATAGGGGATGCGTTGTTCACTAAGGAGCCCCAGGGAGTGACTAGGAATAATGTGTGTAAACTAGTTGAGAGTGGATTTAGGTTAGATATTAGGAAGAAATTTTTCACAGTAAGTGCGGCCAGGATCTGGAATGGGCTTCCAAGAGAGGTGGTGCTATCACCTAGCTTGGAGGTCTTCAAGAAGAGGCTAGATAGTCACCTGGCTGGGGTCATCTGACCTTGGTCCTCTTTCCTGCCAGGGGCAGGGAGTCGGACACAATGATCCATTGTGGTCCCTTCTGACTCTACAATCTATGAATCTATGAATTTCTCAGAGCCTTGGTCTCCTAGTCGGTAGTAAAAGTACATTCCTCTGCCTGGTAATAAGACTGGAACACCTTCCACTGAGAACACAGAGAAAACACAAAGAAACACTCAAAGCCACCTAAATGATAGGTTGTCAAGTTGAAGGGTGCTAATAGGTATGCTGTTTACCATACTGCTAAGTAGGATAGGGTCCTGGCCCCATCTTAGTTATAAGAAAGGGGACCCAGACATGGAAAAGATTTCAGAACTGCTGGTTTAGAGTTGGTTTAAATGTTGCAGCTATGTATTATCTGACTCTTAGCACTGGCATCTTGTTGCATGTTATATTTGTTATATTATCATGGTGCTGTACAAACCTTAATGAATCCCTTGACATTATTCCAACCTGGCACTGGATTGTCATGATGCACTGAGTAACGAGATACCAAACCTCTTCTCCCTGACCCCAATTCACATACAATACAGATGGAAGCAGTTGCTCTACCGAAGGATGCACTGGAAAAATGCTTGTGCACAAGCAGGTTAATGCCTTTTATATATTAAGCAAAATTGCCTTAGACGCATTGATTTCTGAACTCAGAGTAACCTTTGTGCTCATGGACACACTTTAAACTTTTGAGGCCTAGAACATGCTCACCAGCTTTATCCCCTAGCCTTTGAGTTCCAGCTCTCTGCAAATTAGAAGTAAAGCAGCTAGTGCTGTCTGCTGACTTTCAAGTGTTAACCACGCACACATTCCACCTTGTTAAAATATACATAACAATATATTTCCTAGCTTCAAACAATTTTGTAAACAGGAAGGGGGGAGGGAGGGAATGGAAATTTACTCATTCTGACCCCAGTAGAGCAACTGCATGCCTGGTGCTTATTGATTCTGATCACACAATACTAAGGTTCCATTAATAAATAGTTTAGGTTTTATGGTTCTTTTATAACTCCTGTTGATTGCTTGTCTAGATCTTAAGGCATTTTACCAAGGAGGTCAGGGTCATTTGCTTCATTTTAAAGATAAGGAAACTGGAGCCCAGACTGGGGAAGCAACTTGCCCAAGATCACCTGGCAAGCCAGTGGCAGTCCCAGCCCAGTGTACTACCCCCTAGCCCCCAATGGCAGAACAGCTGTTAAAAGTCCAGCAGGTTGCTTATAGCCATTTGCATCATCTTCTGTTGATGTGCCCATAAGCATCCAGAACTTGTATGTGCAACATGCTGGTAACATCACTAGTCACATATTAACCCTTTACAAACTCTTTAACAATAGGACCTCGGAGTAAAGTGTGACCATGACTTCCTTTAGCTGTGTCCCCATCTCTGTTGTTGTATTACCTGATGTGGTACATCAGGGATTCACGTCTTTGGGATTCATTCCTGGTAGCTCAGACATTTGGTTTATTACTGTGTGTTCATGTCAAGGTCGCACATACATACATATGTACCTAAAATCTTTTAGTTGTCAGGTCTGCTATTACTCTTGTATGCATATTATGCTCTTAGATTGTTTTGTTGTTTTTTGTTACAGACTACATGGCAACCAGTTAATAAGTGTAAATATAGTGTGCACTTTCTGATGGAAGCAAGATTTGATTATTCAGCTTAAATATTTATGGGGATCAGTTTTTTTCTGCAATGTATGTAGACTGTTCCCAACAATGATACTTTTAGACTGTAAGCTCTGCAGTGCAGGCTCTCTTTATTTTGTGTCCTTACAGCGCTGAGTTTGCCAGTGCGTAACAAATTCATCAAGATGTGTAACAGTGTTAAATAAGAGTTATGCCGATGTTGATAAAAACAAGAAGTGAAATGAAAGACACATAATTTAATGCAGCACTGTATAGTAAGGGATCCCGGGATCCCTCCTATATACTGTTCACAAACTAACTACATGAATCACCAGCTGTATATTCATTATTACATTACAAACCTGACTTGCTTCTGGAGAATTTTTAGCTTGCAAAATATGATGTATCCTCCACCTCACTTTGATTGCCAACATTTTGTTTGTTAGACATGCACTTAAACTGAAAGTGTCAAAACTTTGGATCTGTTATTTTTTATCTGCAATTCTCAGTTGCTTTTTAAAGTCAAGAGTCTGATGATCAACAAAAATTGGTGGTATTTTCTCAGTCAAATATGTGGTCTGAGTTTCTGCTGTTTGCTTGACAATTACTTGCATGCATCCTACCATACTTTTTATTATGCAATAAGGTTAGTGCAAATACAAACTTGGCAGTTTGTTTTTTCTTGTGTATAATGGTGCTGAGTAAATAAAGAGATAAGGGCAATGTTACCATTCTCCATAGTTGTACAGTTGCTTTAACATGAGGACATTGTGGACATTACTTCTTAAGCTCTTGCGAATTGCTAGTGTCAACGGGGGCTTACATGTGGTTGCAATAATCTGACTGTGTGTGCATGTG